ACTGGGGATCGAGCCACAACCCTGATTGGGAATCGAATCGCAATCTCCTGGATCCTAGGTCAATGCTCAACCGCTGAGCCACGCCGGCCGGGCAAAGATAGTCTTTTTTTAAGTTTTTTTTTAATCTTTTTTTAATCCTCACTTGAGGATGTTTTTTACTGATTTTTCTTTAGAGAGAGGAAGGGAGAGCAAGAGAGGAAAACATCAGTCAGTTGCCTCTCGTACACCCCCGACCAGGGATCGAACCTGCAACCTTTTGGTATAGGGGACGACACTCCAACCAACTGAGCCACTCGGCCAGGCAAGTCTGTATTTTTATGTAATTTAAGACTTATTGGAGTTGCAAAAATCATGCAGAGGATTCCTGTGTACCTGATCATTTTTTTCAGTGTTTTAATATCTAAATAGCTGGTGATGATTCTTTGCGTTTGTTTTGCTGTAGCGTATCCCTACTCGTAGCTGGTGAAGAATGGGCGAGATAGAAGGGACATACAGAGCCCTGCAGACCCCAGGGGCTCGCCTGGGCGCCCAGCCCCTCACGGGTGTGAGCACCCTGGAGCCCGGGCAGGCTCCCTCGGCTGGGATGGCACGGATGGCGGCCAGAACACAGGAGACGCGCTCTCCCCTCAGGGTAAAGCTGCTGGACAACTCCGTGGAGATGTTTGACATTGAGGTAAGAAGCGCGGTGTTTGGAGGCACGGTTCCTTACATTTTCTGAAAGTGAACTGTTACGTCCCAGATTACGTTTCGCCCGTTAGGTTTCACTCGTTTATGAAGTTGACCATGAGTGGCTTTGGTAACATCCAGTAAAATCCTTGCAGATGGTGAGCCGGCCCCTCTCCCTACAGTTTGGAGAGTGGGACCCTCCTGTCTGTCCTCTAAAATTCCGACCTTGTTGTCCCCACGTTCTTCTCTTGGAAGCTGGCCTGCTGCCGTAGAGCACAGACTGGAACCCGGGGGCCTCCACCCAGCTTCTTCGGCTCAGTCCCTGGCTGCCTGGGTGGGGGTTTCTTAGCCTCATTGCGTGTCAGCTTCCTGAGGGTGACTACGGGCCCCTAGCTCAGGGTGCCGCTCAGTCTTAGCATAGAACTGGTTTTTCTGGGTCAGCCATAATAACATCTGTATTTTGAAAATTCCCTACTATTAGATTGAACTGATAATGTTGGCAAAAGTAATTACATGTATGTACATATCCATGTATATACATATTTATAGGGCGTCCCAAAAAACGTATACACTGACTAATTATAAAAGCAGTGTTTATTAAAATACGTTTCATTTTCAAAATTGAACTGTTAGCTGTTAAAGTGTGTATACACTTATTTGGGGACACTGTATTTTTAAAGAACAGTTTTAGACTCACATAACACATTGGAAATCATTTTTTCTTATTTTCTAAATGACATTAGAATGAATATATTTTTAAAAAGTTATTAACTTTTATTTAAAATTAATATATTATTTAAAAGTTATGCATTAACTTTCAAATGTAATGCGTAAGTATATTATCTTTCTTAAATCTTTCACACTGACTCACAGTAGTATCTTTGGAAGCTTTTCCTGCTCTAATGTCACAGCAGCAAGAACAGGAGTGTGAACTTAAACCCTTGCGGGTTTATTTATACTTCGGTTTTCTGTCAAGAAGTCAAGATGCTACACAGAAAGTAAAATGATTATTGAGCTGCGGGCCAGGCTGTGAAGGGGCCTGGAGGACACCCCCGTAGGTGCGTTGCAGGAGAAAGGTGAGGGAGGGAGAGGTGAGCACAGTGAGTTGAGAAAGGGGCTGCATGGAGGGGGCTGCCTCTCGCTTGGAGCCTGGGCACACCAGCCTGTGCTTAGCGTCCAGATTCATAGTGTTTGAACTCCGACCCCTAACGCTTCTCTTAAGGTCTTACTTGAGGAAGATGTCAGACATTTCACTGGGGCAGTGGTAGCTGAAACCAGCAGGACCTGTCTGTCCAGCCTCCAGTCACTCCTGTGGTGCAAGAGGCACCTCTGCAGGGTGGATAGTCTGGCATAGGCAACCTTTGACCCCGGGAGCTAGGGGGTGGCTGTTGGTTCTGTGACCGCATTTCTGGCTCAGGCTCACCAGGGCTCCCTTGTGAAGCGCTTGTAGGAAGCAGGTTAAGGGTCTGGGAGCTGATTGGGCTCCCACACCTCTTCCAGGCAAACGTTTGGGAGAATCTTCACCATGTAGCCATCCTGAGCTAAACACATTTCCTGTGGTCCCGGCTTCTAACAGGTCAACATTTTTAAAAGGTGAAGGAAGGAAGGAAAGAACTGCACCACGGTTCACTTTGGTGCATCTTTCTTTGGTCCTGCTTAATGGGCTTTATCAGCTGAAACTAGGCCCAAAAAGAAGTCATCTCACATTTACTGTTGAGTCATAAGCAGGGTGTAGTCCTTTTCTGAGAAATTCACTCCTACTAAGCATCTGGGTCATTTTACACGTAAGGAAATTACAGGTGGCATCTTGTAAAGGTTTCAAAATATTTAGAGCTTGTAAATGTTTTAATAAATTGAGATTGTTGTTTGTATTAGTCAAATACAATCATCGTGTGTGATGTTTTGATGCACCTGGAGAGTTACCAGAGATTAAAGAACCACGTTGCTGTTGCACATCCTGGGGGAGAGGGTGCTTTTTGACTGTGGCTACTTGCTGGTGTGCCCCTTTCAGGAGCAGTTAAAACCGACTTTGGTACGTTAGTCGGATCCTGCTTCCAAGGGCTCTGTCCTCTGCAGCCGCCAGCTGGCCCTGCCGAGTAACACACACCCCGAACTTAGTGCTTGAAGCAGACATTACTGTGTATTGCCTGCATATCCGAGTGTTCACTTGGAGGGTTTTTGGCCTGGCTGGCTCTGAGGGCTGGGTGGTCTAGGATGGCCTTACTCACAGGTCCCTGCCTCAGCAGGCACCTCCCTCCTTGCAGACTCTCTCCCTCCAGCGGCAGCGCCTGGTGACTCAGTGAAACTGTCAGGTCCCTTGGGTTCTGGGCTTGAAATTCGAGCGTTGTCACTTCCGCCAGGTTTTACTGATCAAAGCAAGTCCCCAGGCCAACCCGGATTCCCAGGGTGGGGAGGCAGAGCCACCGTGGTGGTGGGGTGGGCCAAGGAAGCTGTGGCCTTTGGCGGCCAGCACAGCAGCTGTTGCCAGTGGATCAGGGATGCAGTCCTGTGAAGCTCAGAGCCTGATGGCAGTGGGCTGGGCTGGTTTGCCAGGCAATAGACATGCTTCCTTGTCCTGCCCCTGAAGTGCTTCCCCACAGTCCTCCGGAAGGGGCTGCCCTGAGAAGGCAGGTGTGCCCTGCTCCTTTCTGACCCCGTGTCTCCTGGGGGTCACAGCTCCAAAGATCCTGAGGTCAAGGCTGGTCGCCTGCCTGGGCTTCCCTTCCCTGCTCCACTGTTACTCCTCACTGGTCACCTGTGTCCCCACTCCTGCTCCTTTATATTTGATTGTATTAGAGAGAGGAAGGGGGAGAGAGAGAGAGACATCAATTGATTGCCTCTCATATGTACCCCTAGCTAGGATCTAACCCAAAACCTGGGTATGTGCCCTGACCATGAACTGAACCCAACATTTTTTGGTGCACAGGACGACTCTCCAGCCAACTAAGCCACACCAGCCAGGGCTTTTTTTTTTTTTTAATTGACTTTTTTAGAGAGAGAGAGAGCCCCCCTTTATATTTGAACTGAGAGACACAGATTATGGTCAAGTGGCATTTGCTTTTGGATGGCTGAGATGATGGCCTGCAGTGCGGGGTGTGGGCGACAGAGCAGGGCGGGCCTCAACCGGGTGAGCCTCTGGCTACAGAGAGGACACTCCTTGTCCCAGATTGGCCTGTGGTCTGTCTCCTGGTAGGTGGTTCCGGGGGCCAGGCTTTGTTCCATCCACTGCTGTGTCCTCAGTGTCTGGACAGGGCCTGTTCTGTAGACATGCGTTGAAGGGACAAGCCAGAAGCTGCGTTGGATTAAATGCTTAATTCAAGGGGGCGTGAGCTCTTCCCTCACAGCTGAGTTTTCCAGCCTCAGATCCGAGTGTTTCATTTCATGTGTTCTGGGTTTTTGGCGTCTACGCCCATCTGTCTGCTTGTTTGGTTTATTTTTCACTTAAGTCTTAAGCAGCAGAGTCTGTGGCCCGCGGAGTCTGTGACTAGCAGGTCGGATGTGCTGATGGCACCTTGCAGACCACTGGCTTCTGCGCATAGGTGGTGACAAAGCACCAGCCTTGTGTGGAGCTGAGTAGAACCCCCTACTTGATGTTGGAGGTTTTTACTTAAGGGACCTTTTTAACTTAGGGAAGAATGTGACATTTAGTTATTTTTGAAAGGCCTATATTTTGCATTAGTGAAAATACAGAGTAGCTTGGCCTGAAGACCTCCTGTGGTCATGTCTGTCTTTCCTCATGGAGTCTGGCCAGTGAGGCAGCCCTGGTGCTGCTGCTTCATACTTGCTCCAGACATGGGTTCTGCGAGACCCGGTTCTTGTCACACCTCCCGTCCCCCCGTGTGCGGGAATGAACTTTGCCATCCATGCAGACCGCCCCCGTAGTGCATGTGGGTGCAGAGCCACACTGCTCTCACCCAGGGGAGAGATAGCAGTTACTCTGCCTTCTCAGAAGTGGTGTTCACACAGCACGGGATCACCTCCTCCCTTGTCAGCGGCGCACAAGTGCGTTTGCCCCGCTTTCTGCCTGGGTCTGAGAGCATGGGCTTGTTTAATCCCTTCTGCACGCCCCCTGCCAGGGATAGCGCCCTCAACATGGGCATGTGCTCTGACCTGGAATCCAACCGGCAACCTTTCGGTGCACAGACGATGCCCAACCAGCTGAGTCATACTGGCCAGGGCTAAATGTTATTTTTAATGGCTAACGAAGGGAGGTTTTGAGCCAAAAGTATGAGAATTGTACCATTAAGAAGTTACCCTCAGGGGTGGTTCCTTGGAGAGATTGTAACAGTGACGTTAACCCCTGCTGAGCCAGTTCCCACATAGGAATGAACTGTCTACTTCTCCCGGTTGTGAGGACCACAGAGAAAGCAGGGCTGGGGGCCCACAGCGAGCCTGGGGATGGGAAGCTGCGGACAGCGGAGGCTCAGAGTTTCGCTTAGAGTTGTCTTGTAAATTTACGGAACTGGAATTTTAATTGACACTGTGTTTAAAATCAGCATTTACCTCTTTTATAGGAAATAGCTACCAGTGTCTGATTATCTCAACCGTTGGAATCACTGGTACAACAGATGTGCATGAGCTTGGGTTGTGAGCTGACAACGTGAGATGCACTCTGTGGTTCCTCCTGTTGGTCACTAGTTAGACTAAAGCACTTCTGCGTGGAAGGGCAGGGCTGTAGTGCAGAGAAAGGAGAGAAGTCTGTGAGTCCATGATGGAGCCCGTGGTGTGGGCCTCGCTGTGTGACTCTTGACACTCACTGATGGGATTTTAAGCTGCCAAAGGTCAGTCAGTGGTCAGCTTTTTGATCTAGTAAAATCTTGATGTGTTTTCAGTTGAGAAATGAATCCTGTGCCTTTGCAAGTATAATTCTGGAAAAATAAAGAAAATAGAAATCTGGCCTCTGCTCTGGAAAGACCTTTTCCTGAGCTGTAAAAGAAGCCACGTGGAAGCCACGTGTCGCCTGCCACGGCCCGTGTGCAGTCGTAGAGCAGAAATGCTTTCAGCTCC